TAGCATCATTGCATAACAGTGGCATTCATCATGAATTCGACTTCTGAGTTAGCAAAAATATAAATACGTATGTTTAAGGTACAATAAATGTACTTTCTCTTGAAATCAGCTTCAATAATTCCTCTCGTCCCAAACACATTTTCTAGGTTTAGAGACCTTAGTCATCAAAGTGCTGAATTACACGATTAACAATTAAAAGATCTAACCCAACCTAAAGACCTAAACCAAATACAATTCCTTTTGTATCAAAAGTAATTCGAGTAAACTTGATTGTTCAGGTAGTTTCAGTTATCCGGGTCTCGAGCAATTTCAGTTATCCGGGCATTGTAGGCCTGGCCAGCGTCAAATGAGCGGGAATAACAAAGCGAGTGAACAAAACAGCGCGAAATAATTAATCGCGGCATCTATTCGCGCGACCGGAAATTCATCGTCCTTCTTTAAGGGCGCGGAACAATTAACGGCGGGAAATAAAAGTGGATCGGGAGGAAGCGGCCGCTACAAAGGAAGAAAGGCGCGTCGCCGGTCGCGCGTGGAACACGTCTGCCGCATAAATTACCCGATCTCTAATTAAGTAGGACCGAAGCGCTCGTTACGGCCGAGCTGTTAATCATCGGACCCGTCGTCCGTGCGACGGAAATTTTTCCGCCGCTTGCGCGGTCACGTATCTCCGAGCGCGACGAAAATTGTCCGACGACGTGCACACGACGCTTCCCGTTCGCGAAACGAATATCCGACCGGATGAAACCGATTAATAAAGTTACGGGCTACGCTCGATTCTTTTAATTTATGTTAATGATACCGGAAAATGGAATTTCCTTTTTGTTTCAAATTTCTCCGATAAATTCTGTTCGAAAAATACAGGTGCAAAATCCTATGTCTAAACTCCTTGTTTGTTTAATATTTAACACGTGCACTCGGTTAATTAAAAAAGGTTCTAAGGTTCTCCGTTTAACAGTTCGTATGTGCAATTGTTTTAATGTAGTACAGTAGTGTCTCGCTTATTGCATCAATCTCCGTTACGGATACTTGCAAATAGAGAGATTTATGATATTGTTCTTCGGTCTGATCGAACTCGATTGTGAATGTAAATTCTTCACTATACGCGAATGTTACTGTCATTGATGGAGAATTTATAAATGTAGGTTGGCAATAATATCACGTGATTCTCGATTCTTTTATACGTAATAACAATGGTAGAAGCCACGACGGGTTAATTAAGTCATAAAAAAATTCTCGAAATTGATTTGCCGCTTTGAAACAACCCTACCCGTGTTTTTATATCATCGTGACGAAGTCGAAGACAGATGGAACTTGAATAAACAAAAAAGGATTTTTAAATAAAAACAATTTTCTTGCCATCCCCCTCGGACTGTAAGACTCCCAGGGTGTAGCAACCCCCCCCACATTGGAAAACAATGACACACGCGATTCGAAAACATTTCGGACACGGGACACTGCCTCCTCCCTCCCAGGCTACCACCCCATGGGAGGCAAAGCCGGAAATTAAAGTAGCACCCGCAAACAGCCAACAGGAAGCGCCAGGGGCGTTTTTTCTGTTCCTCCGCTGCCGCCTGAACACGCATCGGACACCGGGGCGAAACAAAACGGAACGAAACAGGGAATAAAAAATAAAAACCAGAAAAAAAAGGAAAAAAAATAACAAAAAAAGTCGAAAGGAAAAAACGTAGATAGCAATGACCAATTTTCGCGTGCGCCGCGGGACCGCGTATCTCATTTCAGCCAGCAGCGAGCTACCGACCCAATTTCGGTGACAATGCACCGCGCGAGAGGGACAGAAACGGATGAACAAGCAGGACAAGTTAAAGGAGAAGGGCGACACGGGGTGTGTTGAAGGGAGGAAGAGCCGAAACAAGCGTGGGCGGTTTTACGCGGTCGTGCGACTCGCAATTCATGCGGCGCAGGAACTGATATTTCGCGGAAAATGAATCACCCCCACCCTTGTGCAAACGAACGGACGCACAGCGGTAACAGGACACAATAGTCAGACAATGGGGAGAACGGTAGCTTTCGGGATGATTACGATGGCTACGGCGCCACTCGGACCTGGGGATCGTAACCAGGGAGATGCCAGGGAACCCTGGATTCCGTTGGTCGGAGGGAAACGCAACCCCAGAAAGGATGAAGTCGAGCGTTCTCTATGGCCGGCTACGGGACAAAGGTGCGCGTTTAGGAATACAAACCGTGTCGTGGCCGGCAAACGACGACCAAATTAAATTGGCGGCGCCCATTAAGGACGAGCAAGACCACCAGGTCTGGGCACCAATTAACGTCTAATTAGCGCATTATGCGGCCCGATCGAAGGGGATCGTCGAGATGTTTCCCTCGAGGGAGCCCGCTACTACCGACACTATAGTTCCAAGGTAGTGGAATTGTTGCGTTTCGTGGGCGATCCTCCACTTAGGTGAGGTCACAGCTTTTGAGCATCACTATACTAATCAAGCTTATATAATCAAGTCCACGTCAAGTGTACGTTGCTGGTTCCAGGTCCAGTTGGTGACCACTCAACTTTTTCAACTTCATTGTATGTAGAATCAAGTTTGACGTTTTTGTTTGAGGATATCCCTTTCAATTCTCCGTAGATCACCGTTGATCTTACGTGCACAATTTTGTTATAAATATTTTTAGAGGGACACAACGTAATGTTGACCAGCATTCGGAACAGACCATCCCAATATTCTATCCGTATCTCAATTTTATTACCGATTGTTTGTTTTCCATCCTCTGTCCCTGTCCAATCCTACGGCATTCTTGCTCCACGTAGGTTATCCTCCCTCAGACATTGTTCAGAAACACATCTTGCGTCTGATTGAGGCAAGCAGAAAAGGAAGGTCGCAAGGCAGGTAGTGTATACGTGTTCCACGTTTTTCTTTATTTATTGATGAAGCCCTATTGTCGGTACCGTCATTTCCCGACGACCTCGGGCAATGCGATGCTGAACATGGTTCCATTCGAGTTATAGGGATGTGAGAGGAGGATTTTAACCCTCCATTACATAATGTGTCCAATCAGGATTCCGGTAAAAACAATATCAGGACATTCATTCTACATTAAATCATATTTGGATCTGGGATAGATCTAGGTTAGAATACACTATTATATTGTCCCCAAATTTAAAAGTCATCTAAACACTCTACTTTATTAGACATTTTCATTTTTTTGATCATTCTTAACGTTCAAAACATTATTAATCGAGGCAAGCAATCGATTATACATTATCTATTAACACTATCAAAGGTTCTCAACTATTCAAACCATGCACCTACGTTTAAGAAACACATACTCGTAGTACATAAAATAGTTCGTAATTTAATTCAGCTTCTTTTAAATAGAGAATAAAAAAAAGCTTCGCGATCGATATTCTGTCAGCTTTGGCTCTTTGAGCGCAATTTTATCGATTCACGGGGCGACAGAGCGCCGAAAGAAATTTTCATCGAGCGTTTCCTTGGAATGTTAGAGAACAGAGTCGACGTATGAACGTGACGTTCAGACGCACGCTCGCTTTCTGCTTAGCATGGCATGCAATATTACGAACAAGTTTTACGAGACGCCTCTGTTTCACGACCCTTTCTTCGTCCGAGGCTCTTTGATGCTCGCGAACTGAGGTAACCAATAAAGTTTTTTCAGGGCAGCCGTATCGATGGTAACGAGGGACATTGCTTTTGACGACCCTAAAGGGCTGAACACCTTCATTTCACTCACGCACACAGATACACCTGTAGCGTGTTCCTGACATAAGGGGTTCAACTTCAAAAGCGTATTTTATAAGTTTCATTGATAAAAAGAAGTGTAAACGACACTTTCGTATCGATAGAATATGTTACCCTATGGTTCGACCACTATTTTAAGAACCACCCTGTACATGCATTCAAATTCGAGTTCTTTGGTGTTCATGAAATTTAAAAACCATCGTTTCGCCACAGATTGCCCCTTTGAGGTATGGTCAATCGTAGCACGCTTCTTCTTTATCGAACGTCTTTTCGCGCTTTTGCAGGGCTTTCATGAAATTTAATACTTCTCCGATCTCGACTAGAGTTATCTCCAATACGTTCTGATTTTCATTCCATGTTTCCCTGGACGGAATTATTCTTTAGATTCTCAAGCTTTTAAAACAGGACAAATTGTTGTGCTTTTTCTTTATCATTCAAAAAGTACATTTTCTAAAATGGTAATTCAAAATTTAAGAAACTGTACATGCTCAGGAACCAAAGAACCGAACTTGAAATTTTGACTATATCCAAAGTAAACGTTCAGTGATTGGAACATTGTCCTAGAATATCATTGGTTCAGTGTACGCTTGAAGAGATTTAACGTGCCTGTGACATAGATTTCGTACATGTAGACGCCATTTATACAAGAGAAAAATAAATATTTTGAAGATAATTCGACAAAATTTGTGCTTCTGCGACTAATTAATATCACTAGACGCATTTATATCAGCATCGAATCTAACCTATCTAAAGCTACGAACTTAATCTGCGAACCCATTAAACCATTAAGTGCCAGTTAAAATGTCTGCCGGAAGAAAAAAGTCAACGTGTATTCGCGCCCATGATATTCACCTGGGCCGAAAACCTGATCCCGTTCCAACTTTCACCCCTAACTCGCTCCCCTTCTGGCCACTCTGGCCGCAGTACTTTCTATGCAAAACCGCCAATTAATTATACAGCGCACGCTGCTTCGTATTATCGCGGCCACCGTTTCCATCTTTCCCCCACCGAAGTTACATCACCTGTTACGTCACTTCGACATCCCCTCCCTCGTGCCAGTGTTCCCCTCTCCGTGAACGACACGAACGATTTCGTAACAATCCATCACGGATCGTCTCAGCCCCCGACGCTCCCCGAGAGTCTTGTTCTTTTTATCCTCGTGTTACGTTCCCCCATTGTAAACTCCTGGTCGTTATTATCCCCTGTGACAGCAATCCTTTCCATCCCCATAAAGGGACCGCTCAAGAATTCCTCGAAGGGAGCACGCGAAATTCAATAGATGGCCGAACGATACAAGATGTTGTGCAGATTATTACGATGAGCGTGATCTATGGGAGCGCCGTGACCTGGCCGACCCCACAGCCTCCTCCAGGTATCGAAATGTCGACGACAGCTTTCCTGCTCCGTCTGTCGTTCCTCCTGGAACGAGAATCGCCCTCTGTACGAGCCAAGCGCGCGCGCTGCAACGCTGACCGACGTCACCGCCAAATGTTTTGGCCGTTCGAGGTTACCGCCAAATGTTTTGGCCGCCCAAAGTCACCTTCCCGATCACGAGTGACGTAAATCTACTCTTTTGGCCGCTTGAGAACCGCGTCTCTTGCCAGAAGTTAAGTTTTTTTAAACCGACCAATATATTTGGCGCTTACTTTAGGACGAACTGGACGTTGCTACAACTTATCTAAAAGCTAAAGGTTATGCACAAGATTGCTACAATCGATTCTAGGACCGTCGTTAGCTGATTCTTCTGAATTATTTTTCACTTACCATCGCGTGTTCCCGTTTTCGTCGCATTTGCTCGACGAGCTCGGCGATGTACTCGCGATTCCCGACTCCCAGTGGTCGTAATCTGCCGACAAAAGCGACGCGGATGAGCTTCCCGGAACGCTGATGTCGTTCAAGAACCGCTACTTTGCTTATCTAACATGTGACTTTACATATTTTTATATTTTATGCTAACGACTGTACAATAAAGACAAAAAATACAGAAATTCAAGTAGATGAGTACGCGACAATAGCGAGGAAAGCAAGGTATACTTATAGATTTTTAAATCACAGTAACAGCGCTAGCTCTCACACTCAGTCTCGAAGAACTTTTCGGTCAAGTTCATAGTGTGTCATGCATAGATTGAGTTCACAAGCATTGCGTGCTACAACGGATTTAAAACCTACACGAACGATTATGAAGCGACTAAAGTGAAATTCACGATTGAAGGAGCATTCTGGTTACGTACACTGCGCGAGTTTCCTACTTTTCACATTTCTTTGCAGTTAATCCAACGCGAAGAACTACGGCTCCGCGAAGCGAAATAATTCCATTAGTTGCAATTTAAACGTAACGACGCGACGCTTCGGGATCTCACCTTCGATTTTCTCGTTCAAAGGCGGACAGCTTCGCGCGCGCGCGCGCATGCGTTCTCAACATTTTCCCGCCCAGAAGTTTAACCAGACATCGTCAAATGCTTGATCAAAAACGGCTGAAATTGCAGTCTATAATTGCTTCGCGTACGCGCTAGAAATTCCAAGCGAAATTGCGGCTCGTTGCGCGCGAAGCTTTCGCCCGGAGAACACAAAGGGAACGACGGTATAAATATTCCGAACGATAACTTGTGATTCCGCCGGCTCGGATAATGGCCGTGGCACTCATTACAATGCGTATGAAAACTTACGATAATATCGTTGTCGCGAAATCGCTTCGTTGCGAAACCACCGTCGTTTTTGAATGTATTGCGCGAGAACAAAATTCGAAGAATGATTTCCACCAAAGTATCAATTTGAATCGATGTAACAAGATTTTTGTGAACGTTAGAACAGAGGGTGATCCTTCACGAAAAAATAAATCGGAAACGTGGAATAAAAATTTTTGATACCAGCCATCGTTGTTGAGCAATTGAAATTGGAAAATTCATGGCGCACGCGTGGCTCTTTATTTCTACTTGAAACTGCTATAACTTGTTAGCGGAATACAAGTGGAAGCAGCCGGTAATGGTCGGACACGTTCGCCAAGTCGTATGAAATTGCAGACGCGTCCCATAAATTTTTAGAATCGATTTTGTTGAAAAAAATTTTGTTCCGTGCGTCCAATTTATTTTTATACGAGGGATCGTTCCCATTTCGGCTGTACCATGCATTCCCCCTTTATAAAAGCTTCCGACACGCGTAGAAACAGAATTCTACGGGCCACTCGACATCCGATCGAGCAGGATTCCCGTGATATCGATCGAGAAAAAGTTGCATTGCTGTAATACAACTTCCCTCTTAACAAAAAATCGACACGCTCTTCCATCTCCGCGATAAGCTTTCCGCGATCTATAAAACTTTCATTGGTGTATCGCGTTCGGAAAGTTGCCAAGCATAGCAATGAAATGTGAGCGCGCGTTAAGGGAGCTGCTGGAAGTCAGGAAAAACTTCTGGAAAACAGGAGGGATACTATTAACGTTGAAAATGTACAAAACAAAAGCAATTAGCGGATACTTGTTGCCAGGCTTCTATCGAACGGATTAACTTCTGCGATGCAAGCTTTTATCATCCTTGGAGAATTATTGCAGCATTACTTCAGAGCCATATTTATCTTTTTGTGCGAATATTATCCTAACAGTGTTCCATAAACCTCTCAATCTTTTCTCGCGAAAAAAATTCATAATCTTAAGGATGAATTAATAATCTCTACTTTCCAACAGAAATTTCCAGACTTAACTCTTTCATCGGGGCATACTTTGCCTCATGAATGAAAAAGAACGATATGGATATTACTTTTGGAGAAAAAAAATTAATTAATGGGTCTTCCTTAATAATAGGAGATTTTAAATTCCACTCCTACGTGGTTTATTGTTTGCTTCGAGAATTAAAAGGGTCCACATTAGAAAGAATGAAGTTGCAAAAATCCGTTGGGGATTATGCGACGATTCGAGCGCAGGCGAGAAATAATTCCCTGGTACGTGTGCGCGTTACCTCCAAAGAGTTAAGCTGCCCCAACATGTAAGAAAGGATAAGCATAACGCTGCCTTAGTGACACGTACACGGTCCAGTCTGCTAAGGGTGTTTACCCCTTAATAAGTGTGCTTACGCGGGTCGTTATGCAAATAAAATTCTAGAAACTCTGACGAGAACGCGATTCTCTCATTCTACATCGGCTGACTCGAACAGCGTCCTTCTTTGCAGCGGAAAATCTGTCGTCCTCTGTTTCGCGAGAAAGAAACAACACGCAAATCAAGTAAAAAGCGACGCTTTGGGAATAACGGTGCTTTTAACGATCGACAAACCTTCGTACAAATTGAATAAGTTCTTAACTATTCAGTCAAGCGAAGTGTATACCCAGAGACAATGACTCGTGTCGCGTGAGGGTCAAGTGGCCCAGTTCACACTAACCCTTCTCCTTCTCCGTCTTGCCCGCCATGACACTTAATGACTGCGCAGACGCGTTGTAATGAAAGATTTTACTTTCAAAGTTAACTTTTTTAGAAACTTCTCGAATAAGTGAAGTCTGTCTGGTTAAGGGTCTAATCTACTTTGTAGGGTTCAAAAGATCGAATTTCTTTTTTGTATAATAGGAGAGACCCAAGCGTGGAGAATATTGTGAAAAAGTCACAAAGTGTAACTCCGAAAATTGGTGGAGTTACAAGAGATTAAACCAGCGGCGCACGGGTCAGTAACGCTCGCCTTAAAACTTTAAACACGTTTTTCGCTGAACCACGTTTCCAACCACTACGAACGTGATAAGAAAAAACTACAGCAGATATCTGTCCGAACTTTGCTTTACTTGTACGCGATACGTGTCTCCACGGAATAGGTTAAAATCGTACTAATATCAGCAATAGTTGATTGAAAATTGGAAACTACTCGAAATAGTGAGCTAGAATTTGAATAACATCGAAGCACACTCCGACTGGTGTCGTAGATTCGTTTCGCGAGTATTTGCAAAAGAAAATCGTTCAAGGAGATCAGAACTAGCACGAGATCAAATTTTCCTCAGTCGGAAGGCAAACAGTACGAGAAGTCAGCGGAAACAGGAATAGCGCATTGTTTCATCGTCTATTCTTTTCTCGAGGAACGTTCTCCAAAAAAAGTGTCCCTTCATTATAACAGAGACAAGAAACGAATTGGAGCGAGCACGAAACGAGACTTAGCTCGACTGTGTGCACCTCGCGCATTGCCCGAAGAAAACGACGCAGCACCGGAATTAGAGAATTAGTCAGCTTGCAACAGTAACAGTAACTCACGCGTTAAGGCAAAATTAAGATATAAATTAAACTAAAATAAAAAGGTTTTGTTGTTGCGAAAAATTGTCGCGAGGAGATCTCCACGGTTTTCCTAATAATATTGCGGGGAAACAAGTCGTGAACTAAAAATTTTGCAACACCTTTGTTTTCTTTCAGCCTCGCGAAGCAGCCGATAATCGACAGTGATTAATTGCAGCGGTGTTCCGCCGGCGTCCAACCTTATTATACACAACGTAACACCCATGGCGACCGCTTCATACAGAATTCCATTAAACGTTATCAAAGTGTCCCATTATACATCAGTCTCCCAGTGATCTTGTTTCTAACCGTTATAACACAACGAAACAATATCGCGCGTCCGCGATAATACGACTTCGATCATGAAGAAATGTCGAAACAATTGATATATCGATCCTAATAGCCTTATTTCTCTAAAATACTCCAAAATCTGAAACATCCTGGAAACCCGTTATAAAGCGACGAGTCTCAAAGTACAGGCAGGAAAGATGTCTGATCGTTAGGCATTCTTTCGCACGCGATATTCCAGAGAGTCTATGATGTGCTGGTTCCGAAGAATAACTAAAAAACATGGCGGCTAGTACCTCGAGATAGAGACTTCGATTCAAGACAGAGGCTGCTGTCTTCGCTGTAACGTCTCTTTGAGTAACCGTTCGGTACAACAGTGCCTGGTGGTTTTTTCTGTCGCGGAATTTGTTGAATGATAAGGGTAGTAGAGGGGGAGGGAAGCAATCTGTTAAAGTGGAAGGAGAAAGTAAAAGGAAAGTGAGCGGCATGACAGACAACGCTCGACGAGGCAGCCGTCTCCAGCGATTTTTCAGCGCGTAATTACCCGAACGCCTTCGAGCCGGAGCCGGAGATGCTGCGAGGAAAACCGTGTTGACGAGTACACAGACCGACAGACTGTAACGTTGACAAACATTCGAGGGGAAGGGGGCTCGCTGCGGAGAGGGGCCGACAGCTGAAGTTGTCGGGGTCGAGGGAGTTCAGGTCAGTGGGTTGATTACCTGTAATGTAGTTACATCCTCCCACCCCCGTCCCCGAGGACCGTAACAACGCTAACCAGACCTGCATTGTAGGCTCACGGCTCGTCGCATTTTGATATCAGTACGGCGCATCGAGAACGCTTTGCAGAGCATATGTACACGCGTCGACTCGATTCGGACTGTAATTTCAGCAGTCTGTTTCTGATCTCCGTACAAGATGGGACAACAATTAGCAAAATAACCTTGAACCACCTTGATTAATTCAGATCACTCCTTCCGTGTTTTTACAGTTCGAGGATGACTCTCAAATGTACCACGACCCGAAAAAGAAACAACCAATATAGCAAAAGGCAAAATAACTGTTACTTTCGTCTCTTCTGTCTGCGAAGGAGACCTGTCTAGCTAAATAAACTTGAACGACCTGCATTAAAATATATCTCTATTTTTATTTTCTCTGAAGCTACAACGACAAGGTCACCTTTAAACGTCCCGAAACGTATTCAATGTGTTCAAACCAACTTTCGTTTCAACCCCTTCGAGAGCAAATTAAAAATAAACAAAAATAAAGACTGATATCGAACCGTGAAGTCTGTCAATCTTGTCGCATTATATCATCGAGATATTCGATTATGAATAATTATTAAATAAACCTGGACAATTCTGATATTGTCGTGTATCGATCAAAATCAGATATCTCATACAATTTGCAAAGAGCAGGAACACTGTAGGATTATAATTAAAAAACGATAAGCGAGCATTAACAAAATGTGATATAGGAGAAACAGAGACCAACAAGGTGGACTGAAATTGAATTTCCATGCGATACGTACGACTCTATCATATATCCAGGACGCGTGGCGTCGGTGGCAACGTGACGAGTGCTTTGTGGCTGCGAGTAATAACGTCTGCTGGTCAAAAGCGGCACCAATTCCACACCCCCGGTCAATTCGTACACCTGAACCTCCTCGTTGTAGCGATGCCTGGGATCCTGGACCAGCTGCATATCCGCGGCGATACCTGGGAAACGAACTGACCTAAAAACGAGCTGCCCCAGCAACATCGAACAGCTCTTTTTTACCTGGCTCCGCCTTATCGTCGAAGAATTTGTTCATATCGGTGACGGCCAAAGGATCAACGTTCCTACGGTGCAATCTCTCGATCGTCGAATTGTTCGTCCAGCCCTGAAAGGATTAAACACGGTAACCCGCCACAGTTGTCGCAGTTTTAATACGACAGAATCCTATTCTTAGATTCCGTTTCGTGCTGGGTGCTGACGATTTCTAACATTGCGAGTTCCATCCTTGACTTTTGTGCAAATATAGAATTCTAATTCTATCCGATGAACGAAGCCTCAGGAATTGGAAGGTCAGGGGTAACGTGGTCAGTGTTTTAACTTGGATCCTAACTGGTATTGTAATCCTATTAATAGCAGCATTAGCGTGGACTTTGATGAAGCTATCATTGCAGTTTGACCGAAATTAATGTCGCTTTAGACCAGCCTACAATCAGGCGAAACTAACAGAGACCGTATTCTGAGACCTGGGAATGCTATTGCAGTTCGATCAGGATAGGCATTGCGTCAGATCTCGATGAAAGCTGTGGCACAATTCAGTCAATGTCACCGTTGACCCGGAATCTGATGAAACTGAAATTAGAATTATATCTTGATTGGCATTATCCCGGACCAATACTGAAACCATCGCCGCAGTTCCATCAGCCACGACGTCAAACTTTGCTCAAGCTATAACGGAACTGCGCTAACGACCGAAATTTCTGAACTTCAAACACCGTATCAATCGAAGAGAGAAATAATTCTTGCAATGTTTTAAAAAGATATTATCGATGGTCTTCGAGTACACAATTTGGAAAGAAATACCAGTTCCGAAGATCTGGAATCGAAGAAAAGGATAACGAAGCTGTCTGGAAGAATTTCTCGGCCCGTAATCGGTATTCAGTTAGACAGACTTAACGCGACCAACCAGATCCTCCATCAACGTCATTCTTGTTAACCGGCGGGGTGCAACAGGACCGCATGGTTTATTGCGACGAAAAACAGAAACCGTCCATAAATCCATCCGCCATAAATTGGTGTCTGGGAACCGATTCGCGAAGCAGAGGGGTAAGCAGGATGCAGGATACAGAGGACCAAAGCGGCCAAAGGATGAGGAAGACTAACGGAGAGGAGAGCATGACGCAGGGAAAAGAGTGTAGCGCGAACGAGGTTGCGCGCGGGAAGAAGTAAACTTGGCCAAAGTGGAACGCGGTAATAAATTTCAGTTTAAACTTTCTGGCCGCGGAAACTAGCCGGAGGAGGATCGTTCAATTACGCAGTAACGCGGCACGGTTATGTGTCTGCCGTTCGAGGATGCTACCGGCGGTTAATTAAAAATTAAGAGTTTCGCTCCGCGGGATCGTTTGGCGCGGTCTGAGAGGCCGGATGGAGCCAAGGCTCGGTTCGAGCCGCGTCTCCACGGAAACGCGTCCGACGCGTCCCGAAAGGACGTAAATGTAAGCGTATAATTTCCACTTCAAACGGTGTTTGCTGTCGCCCATGTGCGGCGACATCCACCGACCAATGGAAAAATCTGCGGCTGTCTTGTTGACACCCGCACAAGCCATTGCGTTCGTTTCTACGAAGTAACTTTGACGCGACCGTGGAAACGATACGCTACAAAGCGTGAATGTTGACTACCGTCGATATTAACCTTGGACTTTGCGATCCTCGACACCGACGGACTCGAAAGGACTGTACGAATAGGGCGTTAAAAGTGTCGATCATAAAATGTCGAATTTTAACTCCTTACGAAAAAATAAAGAGGTATTTTTGTGTCTAATATCGCAGTTAATTTTCTATCGATGACAAACGACCGTTCGGTTGGCCGCCCAAGACCACAGCGGGCGTCTACCACCTCCACGCTTCCGTAGCGCCATCTGTCTGTTCTTTCGAGCCTGCGCAGTACCTCGTTAACCCAATTAACTTAACTCGGGTCTGGACCACGAACATTTTTTGGCACAACGATAAGAACCATTGAATTCGTCGAGTATTATAAGAAACCATCGAGGAAAGTTTCAAGCTGCATGCGTTTGAAAAGGGTGTACCGGTAAATGGAAAAAGTATTCGCTAGAGAAAGCAACAGCCCTGCACAGAAGCTCGTGAACATTTTAATATTGCACGCCAATTTACTCGTAGCTAGGAAAATACATGACCCTCCTTGCAGACGTCTATTTCCGGGAAAGAGTGGGCAAAGCTCGACTTTGCTGCGTTTCTATGTACAAAGCAATAAACAAGTTGCCAGCGGGTCGATCTCGGGGCCAGAGCTAGATATGCGGTACCGGTGAAAAGTGTCGCGGACGCTTTGGTGTAAACATTCCCTAATTTCCAGCAAGCTTAACCGCGAAGAAGAGAGCCAGCGTAACAAGCTGATCGCTCGCGGATCTTCGTGCTTAACGCAATCAAGGAATACGCGTACCAAGGATTCGAGGAACCGCACACCCAGCAACTTGGGATCCCTCCAAGGAACTCCACCAGGACCGGGACGACCCCACGGCCAGAGAGGCGCCAGCTAAGCACACGGCGTCATAGCATATTAAGCAGTTTCCAAGGTTCGTTTCCTACATCCGCAACCCGACTACCTCGAGTTTGGGCGCGCGCTGAATATCATTGCACTTGATATACAGAATGTATCTACCGGCATGAATTTAACGGGGATGTATTTAATAAGACCTATCCTAATACGTAGAATACAGTAAAAATACAGTGGAACAAAGTTACGAACATATCAACTTCCACGTTCTTGTAATTTATGATTTAAAATTAATTCTCGTTGTGTACTACATATGTGGTTCGAATAAACTGTTACGATTCCCCAAATACCAACGAAAATATCGACTTCGTTTTAATTTTAAATTAAATGGTGCAGTGAGAGCATTAAAGCTAGAAAGTTGACGGTATTTTTAAATTCTCGGCGACGTCGAGTACGGATGACCAATGTCTAGATCCTTGAAACGTAAGGACAACGTAGCACCCCTATCTTTCTTCGGAATTTTCTAAGAAAATTCTTGAGAAATTCCCTTGACGCGATGATTTTCGCGTCGCCAAGAGAAATCGACTTTCTCTCTACGAAACGTACTCGGCTCTACGTGATCGGAGAACGATACGTCTACAGTTCGACTGGAAACGAGCCGAACACCCGACTATGTCGACTGTTTTCTCTCTTTATCCACGTTATTGCCGGCAAAAAGATGTTTCACGTTCGCCCTACAACGAAAGTCCATTACGAAATGCCTCTTGTTCCCGTCGTCACGACAAAACCTGGATCATTTTGGATCGTTTATAATGTAATTTTATTGTCGTGAAAACGACTGGATGCACTGGATCAGGCCAACGTTCGTTCTCGAAATACAATATGAAATTTCTGGCCGGAAATTCGATCGTCGGAACCGCCACGAAGAAATTAGACAAAAATCTGACGTTGCTGTCGAGTTATTCAGAAATAAATTCTTTACGATTTTCTGGAAAAATCAAAATGAAAAAGCTACGAATTACTTTTAAATCTAAGACAAAAATGGAAATGGAACACCCTGCTATTAACCTTATAAACGGTGGAGAATTTCTAAAAAGTTTGCCGGCAGAGATGGGTAATTCACATTATTCCGAATAAATAGAGTTCCAAGAAACGAGTAAAATTCAAATAAAAAAAAAAGGGAAAAGAAAATTCCCCGGGGAAAAATCTCGGTCAACGATAAAGTCCCTACGAGAGACTTCTAATCTAAACTCACGCAACTTTCCACTTCCCAGAGACGAAATTATACCAGCAAATTACCGAACGATTAAGAATTATCCAGGGAAGAATCGGCGCGAAGTTCGTTAACAAGATGTCGTTAAGGGTGCAAAGAATATCGACGCGCGCCGATCGATACGCCCCGTAATACATATTCCATGAACGAGCTGGCAGAAAGGCTTCGTGCACGAGGTCGCTTGAGATGTTAATGAAAGCCAACGTCATCAGCGAGGTGACGACGATGATATTGCGAAATTTTATCAACGATGACTACAACCCCTCTGTCTTTCTATCACCTTCTGTCGCTGTAGAATATTTTAAGTTTTAAAATAAATGGACTATGCTCGAGCACGGATAAAAATATTACTCTAGAAAGCCTAATAAATTACTGTTCCCAATATACATATATTACCAACGACATGTGCAGAGCAACGAACATTTTTCCAATTTTATTTTTCGAAGTAAATAACATTTTTAATCTAAATGTAAATGTACAATGAGGTGTCGAAACGTTACATAGTTTCAAGGTTTGACGCAAAACACTGAAACCCGTGTACCTTATTTTATATTTTACAAGACCCTTTGTGAGTGAAATCCAGAGATGACTACCTTCCCGATACACCGATCCGCGTGACATTAAACGCAATGGAAGCGACTTCCGGCGAAAGTTTCGCGACCCCAAAACTCCAACAAAAATATCGGGGCAGACACTTGGAGAATTAGGAATGAGATATCGGGTCATCCACCCTCCCGCCCCCCGTAAGTAATCTCACTTTCGAAGTTCGGAATCGATGCCCGCGTTTAGGATTCCTGTTATCCTTTTTCGACGGAGGTACTTTAAATTTGTTTCTTACAAGATTGAACAGGCAATTACAAATATAGAACCGTTTGCAGACATTTGGGTCTCGATTCCTTGGAAAGTCCTAGACTTGTTTCCGATCTTAAATAAACAGGGGTGGATTGTGACTCTTTTTTACAAGCAAGATGTCCGTGTTGGTTAAAAAGAGAACGTAATTGCTTGTAAGCGAAGCTGATATATCCGATAATGAAGTTGTGAATAATGGAGAAATAGAAACTTCAGAGACTTGTTCGCGAGGGAAGTTCAAGATTCGCCAGCGGCAAGCTGAAATTACGGAATATAAAATTGGCTAGGAGTGCAATAAACTATACGGAATAAGGGAACAGTACGATGTAGAGGGTGATCAAAAATGGGGGGTAATTTTTGAGATGGTAATAAATAATTGAATTTTTAATATGAAGCAAAGGTTCTTATAGCGCCTATTATTAAATTGCCAAGGTCCTCGATACTGATTACCATGGACGCTAAAAACAGATATTTCGCAATTTCCCCGCGCAATCACACGTCCCAAGCCAGAACGACAAAATATGCGGCTCCGAGCCAACCTCTGCACACCACTTTTTAAGCTTTGAATTGCAAATCGTCTTCGGTACTAATTCTCGAATCACGACCGCAACGCCTGTTCACGTCCCCGGAAACACGTCGAGGGCAAACGTTTGCATGGTTATTATCGGCCAATAGAGAAGCCTTCTTTACGCCGATAACGGTCCCCGATTTTGCAACGATAATAAGGCTACGGAACGACATCCTTCCTTGCGAATTGCTCCCCGCAAAAACAACCGCCCTAATTTCGCGAGCAACCTTGGATCTTGTTCGCCTTTAGCTTCTTGTATTTCTATACTGTGTCACGTAGAGGGATGATATTGCTTCGCGTAGATCTTCGTGCCCTGAATTTCGCGAATCTTACGTCATGCGACTGCTGGGGTGACTTTCCAAGCGGTGGTTTGTATAGAAAGGCGAGAACATATCCCTGGTGTTTTATTGATTTGGAATTTACTTTATTTCTACTTTCTTTAGATTAAAATATCGACGACTGATGACTGTGCCTACTACCGAATCGTCGACGGTAATTAAATATCGCGACAAAAGCCTTTTTAACGAAGATCCGAACGAGACACGGTGCTCCGTTAACGAATGCAAAATGAGTCTCGTTGCGCAGGAAAACGAAATCAACTTTTATGGGGACGAGGGGGAAAAAGCGCCGCCGTAGCCTTGTAATTTCAGATGCAGCGTTTATTTACAGACGGAACCGTAGCACTACCCAGAATCCGTGTTTGCCAGTTCGCTCAATAATACGCAAAGGCAAGAAGATAATTATTGGCGGCGTGTATATTTTAAAGGGCTGCTTGGAATCGGAACGCCGGATTGAAAATCAGTAATTCATGTGCCCGTAAACGAATTTCGAGCGTTCCGTTGCTCAATCAGAGGATGCACTAGAATAGAAAAAAAGAATTGGATCGCGTAAATATTAATAATTTCAGGCATTCTTGCGAGCGAAGATGTGGCTTCGTTTCGAAGAATCTGTATGAATTTGTAAAACAGTTTTTGAAAAGTATGAAAGTACTCTGGACAAAGGTCAAATTTTGCAAAAATTTCTGACACAGTCCGATTCAGTAAAAATTGATTGGTGTATTCGAACTTTCGAATGAATCCACCCGCTGCGAGGTATTAATTAACGAGGCACAGGCGTGTGCGATTAATTTGAAAAGAAGTCAGCATTACAGCGTGGGCGCCTCTCGTGTGAATTCGATTCACTTGTTTTCAATTTAACGCCGCGTGTAATAAATGAATATCCAATTTGCGAAAGAATGCCCCCTTTTGTCGATTCGTCCAACAGCGTAGAAACACCGGGATTTTTAATTCGATTCGCATCAAGCCACTTGACAATGTTTCGCGATAGAATGTTCCGGACGAAGAGTGCTCGTTCAAAATGTTACCTTCGCGATCGAACACTTAAAAGTCCAATCGCGAAACATTCGATACGGATCAATAATAATTATAATGCGAAAACCAAATAAAACGCGGTCGGAAGTAGGCCGACAAAAATGCATGGGGATCGAATCTTTGCTCTGTTTCTATCATTCTACATTATTTGTCATTTTTAATAATAAAATCACATTGCACAACGTTTCCACGGGAAACTTGTTTATCGAGTCGAGTGCATTTCGTTGATTAAAACAAATCGAGTCCTCTGCAAATGGAGGGTAAAGCATGAAAATTGTAACTTCGCTGGCGCGTTTTACGAATATTTACCACGAAGGGTCGTTTTCGAGCAACCAAAACTGAGCTCTCGAATAGAAGAAAATTATTCTGATCAGTGGAATTTGCTTGAAAATATAATACTGCCTCGCGTGTTGCAAAATCTGCGTTACGGATACTTGGTACTGATTCATCCCCGCCGTTGTTTACGTTTCTCCTACCTGAAACGCGTGTATTCGAATGCTTAAATACTGTATAAATTGTTTGAAACATTACCTGACGGAAATTCTGACACTTGGAAGGCTCCGGGGGCTCCAGCGGTACATTTTTCTTTCTAAGGGTGGCTGCGCAAGGCGCACCCCCGCCAGGCTTACCCCAAGGCGAATAATTCTCCAAGATTTGCTGCAGCTAAAAAAAGAAGAAAAGGCCACGGTTTTATAAGCCCGATTCTTCGGTTAAACTAAAAATATTATAACTCGTTAAAATAAAATTTTAACTTGCACGACAAATTTTCATCGCGTCGAACGAGATCCCGAAAATCCAATGAACAATTTATATACCAGATATTTAATTTAGACGCGAAATTGTTCCCGAAAAAGAGATTTTAACCGAAATAGAATTTCTCAGGTAAAAGGAATGACTGATTACAAATTTATTGAAAATTGTGAACAGTTAATGGGATAGAATCTATTGTTTCAGTGAGATTTTTTAATACCTATGAATACGTGTCACGCAGAACAGCACTCTTTTAATTGAAAAAATAATAGACAACGCAAACATTTAATTTAGAAACAAATTTGTTTCCGAAATAGAGAGTTTTACTAAAAACAGCGACTCCAGAAGTAAAAAAGAATTAATGGTTAAAAATAAAATAAAAAAGTTTTGAACGGAATCATCTATTGCGATGATATTTTTCAATACAAATATTTGCTTCGCGCAACGACACTCGTGCGATCGAACAAATAATAGAAACCGTTTAGAAACACGTTCCCAGAAACAGGGAATTAAACTAAAACAGAATTACTGAAATAAAAAGAATGTGTAAAAACATTTTTAATGCAAACATTTATCGCGCGAATAAACAATCAAGAAAATAATAAATATTTTAAAACACAATCCCGTAAAACGGGGATTTAACTCTACCAAAATTTCCAAAATAAGTGACAAAAAAGAGCGATTATAAATACATTGATAAAATTCAGAGCGTCATATGTGGCTTTTCCATCACGCTGATAATATATACATAAAAATGCCTAAAGCGTAGAATTGACAAAATTCTGCAAAAATGATTGAAAATTTCGCGTAATATGAAAGGGTGTCTAACGATGTAACATGAAATTTTGTCCTGAAACGAGAGTAATTTTTTATCTTTTCCCGATAATAATCAGGAGAGAAATACCGTAGGATATTCCAGAGTATTTTTTCCTCCAGTTAGGGGGTGACTACGCCAATGGCGACTCTGTACTCCGACGATTTCGTCTGTCTGACACTGCACTGATTGATTCTACTGCACCCTTATCGAGACCCTATTGTCCGAGCCGTTTTAGAGAACCAGCATCCGAGACTGATCGAGAACTCGCTTTGAAGACTCCTTCATCGTGGTCCAACGGGATTTTAAAAACCAGCTAAAGATTTAAACGGAACTCAAACTCCCGTTTCATCATGGACTCACGCTCGAGATCAATACTCCGGGAAACTCGAAATACGTTGAACAACAATTTTCCTCGACACGCGCTCAGCAGCTTGTCTATTATTATAACATTGTTCTACGAATATAATCTGATGTTCATAAATTCTACACGACGATTTTAACTGTAATTAATGTACGCACAATTTAAGAGACACTATACGCTGAAACAGGATGTTTCATTGCAGAGGATTCTTTGAAAACAAATTAACGATGATTATTCTCGTTAGAAAAATGCATAGCTTGGGAATTTGTATAGAAATTTATTGTGTTCTCCATAAGTTTCATACTTATTATAACAATTGGAATTGATAATTTTGGTCATTTTCATTAAATAATATAATACTCTATACCATCAACGTAAAATAACATATTAAACGAGGAATACGAAATCAATGTCACAGTGCGCTTTTCCGGTTCAAATATGAGAAATTAATTGTAATTTTGATTATAATTCGCCTCGTTTAATATGTAACAGATTATTATATTATTCAGTGGCGAACACCGAACTTACGGTAGACTACAATGAATCTTTATAGTACAGAAACAAATTAACGATTAGAATAATTGATATTTACTAAATATAATGTTATGAATTGCAATTTTGATTATTTTTAATAATCACCTATAAACGTGTGTGTAAAACACTGAAAGGGATGATATGGATTCATTCCCCTTCAAATATTTCGAAGATCTGGTTGATTTATCACCATAATCCTCACGCAAAAGCTCGGGTTTATTACTACGCTGGAAGACAATCTCCCCGCGGGGCCTTTGTGGCGTGCTAATGTTCAGCTGTTCTTAATCCGATTTAAAGAGATAAGTAATTCGGATGCACTTTAACGGCCCTGAATATTTAAATCTTTTATTGCAACTCTGTAAGGCTCCACGCGTATGAATCTCCTGCCAGAAATTGTTCTCCTCGACCAAAAAAAAAAAAGAAAACAAAGAAATCTCGACCCGGCGCGTTGATAATACCCTCTCTTGACGCCTTCGTGTAAAATGGATATTTACAACCTTTTTAAAGCGAAATTACGCGCTATAAAGTACGCGGAGGACCCGCGGGCTAAAATTAAAAATTTAACGCCGCGTTGATTATAAAGGGCTCGAGGATCCTTTTATTTGCGTTCACCCAGTGGAAGACGATAAGAAGGAAAATTGTTTCCCTCGACTCCGATTCGAACCACCGTGGGCTAGAATTTCTTCCTAGCGAGCTAGAAATAATGGACGAATTTATGTGATCATTATGCCTACGAAAACATTCAATAATTTCTTAATCGTTCTGTACGTTAATGTGAAAACATTCTCGAACCGAGAAATTATTTTCGTTCGTTCATACCAACAAAAATAATAATGTAAAGCATAGAAGATTTTAAGAAATCATTATTTTTCGTAGCCGTCGTTGAAATCAGTAAAATATTTTCTCGAACTATGGATACTTTAACTAGTAACGTTACGTTCCCGTCAGACATCGTTAGAAGTGATACACTAAACGAGGAAAACGCAGTTCGAGTAACAATAAGCTACACGCGAGTATTATTAAATCGCGGAAACGTTTGCGCTCGTTAGTGAAATATTTCTTACTACTCCCAGGACGAAATATATACGCGGTAATTACAGCGCAGCTGCTAATGATACAGTTTATACAAATTTCGCTCGACGAAATCGCTTCAGGTCCCGCGCGTCGCGTAAATCTCGACGAAGAAAATGAAAATCCGATTGCAACGGCCTGAAACGCAACGCGAACCACTTGGCCGAAAGTTTTCCTGGCTTTCGATAAATGGCCACTGCGTCGGTTATTTCCATAAACTTGTGCATCAGCGCGCCATTGACGCGGCTTAGGGGAACTCCGGAATAGGTACGTAACGAAGGTCGACGAACCGTTTCTACTCAATCAGCAGGAACGACAGCGAACAGAAATTACATCGAAGCTTACTAGCTTCCTTATTAATTCGAAAATACAGCGTGAATTTCGTCGGGTGTCTTTCGTAACGAGGCTTCGTTAAAAAGTTATTCACGTTCTACAGGCGTAACTTTAAACGTGAATAACTCCTCGGTCGACCCTTGGCAAAATTTTAATGGGGGATTCTAGAGGCCAAAATAAGACGAAAATCAAGAATACCAATTCGTTGATTGAGGCTTCGTTAAAAAGTTATTAAAAAATTTCAAATCGTACTGAAAAAATTATTTTCAGTTGCGGGGGTCAATTACAATAATTTTTGGTCTATGGACATAACCGCGAAATCCTATCCATTTTCCAAAAAAAAATTTGAGTAGGTGGACAAATTTATCGACAAAATTAAAAAATATTAAATCGTTCTGGAAAAATTATTTTTGGTTTCGAGGGGTGAATATATTCGCTTCAAGTTCTAACCTGGCGATGGGATTCCCAATCGCTTCGGATCTGCAAAGTTTTCGAAACTTCGAAGACCGTATCAACACTGTCAAGAGTTTTGGGTTCGAATTCGACTCTCCGTTCTCCGAACTATCTTCGAGGCAACAGTGCAAACGCTCCGTCATTGATACACCGGAGAAAATGGAGCCAAGTCGACGTAAAATCTCTTACAGGAGGTCGTAAATTTCCTGCGACTATCGTCGAAGTTTCGAAGCAACCCGCTATAACCGGTGAAAATAGAGAGTCGTTGCCGGCGACACGGGTCTGGCGACTGATCTTTATCCGATCAGCGGCGATACAGGCTGGAAATAAAGCTAAAAGTGTGCGGTCAGCGACGCGAACGGTGCTCGAGCAAGCACAACAGGCCGTTTACGACGCATACTTCACGTTGCTCGCGGTGCTTCTGACGTTGCAACTCCTCCTTTCGCCGCCTCCACAACACCGTCCCGTCCTGAACGGCCCGTCGTTCCCGCTCCTTTCTGGAAACCTCCGCCGCTTCCGGTACGTAAGTTGTCTCCGGGATTTCCTGCGCCATTTCGGTCCCGGTGTCTTCCTCTTAATAAAAGGACGAACAAATCACGAGCATCGCGTGCAACCGTGAGCGGACACTCTGAAAATCAAATGGATGTTGCGCTCAGATGCAGGAAACGACCATGCTCGGCCGTACTGGTCGAGGGTCGCGAGAGACTTTCTGTCGCTCGTTGAGAATTGTAAAGAGGGCTATTGTCTCCGCGGCAATTGTAACGCGCCGGTTAAGATCGATAGCGTCCAGAGCGGCTTCGACAGGGACTCGAGTCGATCGTTTCTGATCGGCTCTCTTGTTCGGGTCGAGGTAGAAATAATTGGCCTGTCAAGGTCACTGCCTACCCACGATCCCTGCTAGCCACGCCCACTATTTTACGTGCTACAATCCGTTACTCGGGCCAACAGGGAAACACGACTGTTCGTTCAAGGAAATTCACGAATGATATTGCGTTACGTAATGCTTGAAATAATTCGTACGTTATAGAGATCAATAACCGTGCAATTTTGTAAAATAGTCGCCCTGATTATTGTATAATTCGGATAACAGAGAAAGTATCTCAAGCAATGGGCGTGGCTATATGTATTTAAAAAGACCGGCGAGTCGACAGAACCGGTACTAAAAATATCGTATAGTTTCGCGTATAAAGCCAGCGGTTTCAAATATAGCAACGAGGCATCCGTGTCGTTATCATCTATTATCGATTTAACAAGATATTATCCTTCTTCGAGGAAACGCGACATCGGTGTTGTTACGCGGTCGATGTGTGGGACTATCTCGTTCGCACGAACTTATCTTCGTGCAGACACGAGGATCAATCAACTCTCCGTGTTTTTCTTCCTTGAAAAGTTAAAAGTGACGCCTCCATAACCGAGTTTCTACGTGCAGGGGACAGCTCGTATTTATTTTATAGGTTACCCAGAGCACGATGTTTATTCTCTACAACCGTACACTTTATATATTCATCGCGAAGTGGGTGCTGAGAGGTTTCAATTTATTCTGCGTACTGCAGACTTCAATGCGCGGGAAAAAACATCGAATAATAACGACAGTAATGAATACTCCGCAAAACGGAAAATGAAGAGGAGTGAGCGCACATTTGGGTTTCGTGCTGTTTCCAATTTCAAGAGCAAAATTATTCAAAAAAAAAAATGTACCAAAAATTATTATGCCCTTAAAAATTTTGTATTCGTGTCAAAGAAAGGAACAAGTTCCGATCGTGATTTTTGGAATTAATTCGGTGAACTTTTCGACGGTGGAAATTCTCGGCCAAACATTGTCGCGCGCGCAAATATATTTTACGATCTTCGCGTCATACGTTGTCACGTTTAATATTTGAATAAATATTTAAAGTCCGTCGGGGCAGGCAACAATAAATTTTATCGAGCACGATAAAACTCCATTTATTTCGGTAGTATCGACATATAATAACGTGGAATATAGTCATGAATAATATAAAAACAACACGAGAACGTGAAAGTTCGTCCATCGATTTATCCATAAAAATGTCTTTGCAAAGCGGCCGAGCGTTTCGCGACGCGCGGAATGCGAATGACTGGAGGTAAAATGGAGGGACTTCGGGGCATGCTTGCATAATGCCATCAATATCTTTTTATCTGGTAGCAACGGCATTGTTACGAGATACTTGGCGAATTTCATTTTCATAACGAAAGAACTATCGTCTCGACGGCATCCGGAACTCCTCGAATTTAATGAAAATTTCGTTTCCGTTCGTCTGCTCGTCCGAAAAATACCGAATAATAACAATAATTTTTTATGGTAAATACTCGGCGCCGGTCCCCAAATACGAGAGAAACAAAATCCTCCGGCGTGTAAATAATTTTCAAGTGAAATTAAATTTTAACGAACCATTGATCGTCGCTGCGTTTTTGTTTTCAAATTTGCCTCACGAAATCGCTTTCTGCTTTGTAAAAAATGAAACAGGCTTGAATAAAACATCCCGTATACGATTAAACCGAATCATCGCGTCCTGGCCCGAAGAGAAAATCTGATTCATTTGCGATCGTTAAATTAAATCTATTAAGCTCGCGAAGATTTTAAACGAAAGTACAAATTATTGATTCGATAGATTGGATTTGAGTACCAGAGAAAATTGAGATGTATAATAGGGTGATCTATTTAACGGATCGTTTGATAGAAGTTCAACGATGAGATTATATCGAGAACTGCAATTGCCAACTGTCGTCAAACTTTTTCATGCGGGGCTATGTTAAATCTCTTGTTTATTCCAACGAGCCACAAACTATTGACGATCTCAAAGCAAACATAATTCGTGTTATTGGTGAGATACCGTCTGATTTATGCGCCAGAGTCATCGAAAATTTGGTTTATCGTATTTGCTCCGCCAAACGTAATTGCGGCGGTCATTTAAACGATATTGTATTTCATGTATACCAAAATAAACACCAGGCAACCTTTTGTAGTTTTCGTTTCATTTAAAAGTTCCATTATTGGAGAACCCGTTATTTTCCACCGTAGAAAAATAATATTCGTAACGCATAAAAAAAAAAATATTCCTCGTACTATAAGAACTCGGTGAATAGTAAAAACATCGAACGAGTGGAGCGTACCGTTCGCTCGGAATAAACTCCCTAAGAATGGTTACTTTTCTAGCCGTGAAAAAAAAGCGACTACCGCCTTAATGTTAACATGTTCGGGACTAATACTCACAGTAACGAGGACTCGACGGCGACGCAACCAGCGGCAACTCGCGAAAATACTTTGGTAAACCGATTACATCCGTACAAAAGCTGCTCACCTGACGATGAGAGCACGCGACTGCCAACCGACCGGCGAATCCCCCGTCCGAGTCAGCCACCCTGTTCTGCCTGCCGACGTCGATTCCCCCGGCATGCCGGCACATCCCCCTCGACGTACGCCGCTAGTATATGCGTCACGATTTACGCCGTTGCCGTCTACCCCTATACTACATCGCTATACACAACGCTCGACCTTCGACTGCCGCTGGCTCGTGAACAGGGCTGTCGGGGTGCACGAAAGCACCCCTAACTTCGCGAAAAATTACGAGTACTGGCGGCGGACAGTGGTTTAGAAACAGGGTAACTACGATTTAAACGCCGACGGGGGGAGGGAGTTTATGTTGTGTAACCGGGACTCGTTGATCGGAATCGAGGACAGCAACGAGATTGGAGCCATTAGATATAATTTATTATTACCAACGTCGAAGGGAATTAATAGTTGTTTAATTCATTTTTCACTTGGGATTTACGTGAATAATTCTGGGGGAAAAAATCCACGAATGCGATTACGCATAGGAACCATAATCGGATAAAGGACTTGCGTTATAAAATACAGGTAACCTTCGGTTTAACATAAAGTTTAATTAATTCCAAAAGGGGTGCGCGCATGATTAACCTGTTTATTATTCTAAGTAAGAACGTAAGGTCAACTATTTCACTAATCTACACAGCCCCCGAAGGCTTTTAAGTTTAGCTGAAATAGTGTGGGGCCGTGGTCATGGCCGACACTAAACTGATATGCTGCATTGATGAAAACACAATTTAATCGATATGAAATATTACTCTAGCGGGAAGAAAATTTGCAACCAAAACGTGTGATTGTGCGGTTCTTAAAAATACACAATGTTGTAACACATTTATCATTTACCGTTAAATTAATCTCTGTCAACGTTATTGCAGCTTTATCAAAACGCTTTCGACCGTAATTTCGGCCCCTTCGATAAATCACGTATTAATCTGCAACATAATTAAACATAAATTATAGGAGAAATTACAAAACAGAATATCGTACTATCTCGATTCAAATATTTAAGAGTAAATTGTAACCGTACTTACGGACAAACATGTACGTACAAATCAAAAAATATAATAAATTGCGACCTTTCCACATTCTAACAATTAATCAAAAAACCGATAAAGAAAGATTTCATGCTCAAGCTATCGATCAGACTCGAAATTATCGTGCGATGTATATTTAGCATCGATGCGTGTAGTTCTACGACTTGTTTGATCCGCACCGTGTGTACACGTTGTTGAGAAATTGATGTAAACTTCAACAAGCATTGCGTGCCATCGCGTGCCACTGACCTTTTGCACCTGGCCATCGAGTCGAAGGCTGTCCATTAACAAATAAGGAAAAATGGAGAACCTTATCCTCACACTAGCATGCAGCATGCGATGTTGTTCGTCAGAAAATATCTCGTGTGGTACTTCTCGCTGCCACAGAGTGCATACTAGAATTTGAAAATAGTTTGCAAAGTGATCTTAAAAACGAAAGAACCTTTCTATTTGTATCTTAACCCAGAAACCTCCGCGATATCTTAACATGTCTAATTTTTTAGATGGACTGAATTATTTAAATTTCTCGGTTCCCGTAAAATGAATTTTTTCGTTAAACACGTATTAAAATACACCCTATTTTCTTAATATCCAAAGAAAAGGTAAATTTCTCGATTAATGCAGTCATCGTGTTTCGCGATCCATAGGCTGAGCAGAACTGATCTAGGCATTAAAATATGAATGAAACAAAGATTTGCCGTGTAGGTCTTTTAAAATACAGACAGAAATTATTCGAGCACGCTGTTGAAATACATTGTTCAAACACGTTTCTGGAAAACGTTTAATGCGCTGCATGTGGCAGAACGAAACGTAGATTGAAGCTGTTTCGCGGTAAACTGTAGCTTCGCGGGTGTATACAGATACAGGGGGGGGAAAAAAAGAAAAGTTGCAACGGAAGTATATACACAAAACCAGATGTTACCTTTGCGAGAAACGCTATTACTTTTTCAGGGCGGGCGCGTCGTCCTGTAAAAATATCACCCCTGTCTTTGCTTTACTGTTATGCTGGCCACGCGAAAAGGGATTTGTAAACGTAAAAACTTTTAGCAATAGGAGGATCAAGAGGGAAGTGCTTCAAACTGGGCAGAGTTCGCGGAATAAACCGCTCGCTTTAAGAATCGTTCGAAACGCGCAAGAATTTCAATGATACTCTGTTAGCGCCGAAGAAACACGAACTTTTCTACCATTTATAACTTT